CGGCTAGGAGGCAGTAAGCATTGCAGCATTGCTCTCGGTGTTTATGAAACTCTTTGTTGGCCTTCAGCATAGCAGCACTAGGAATCAGCTCAACATTACAAGGAGTTTGGGGTGGACACGCTTCACTAAGCATGCGTTTTTGATTTCTCAGTTTGGTCTGTGAGGCCACAGAGGCAGTTGGAGCACCTGTCTTCTGTTGAACTTCTCCTCTTCTTTTCCCGGGGGCAGTGATTATCAACTCCTGCAACTGCTTGCTCAGAGCTGTCAGCACTTAAAACCTGCCACTCTTGGGCTTCCCAGCTGGACTGACAGGATTTGGCCGTGATCCAATCAGGGCGACGTCTCCAGACCCTTTCTGTCTCAAACACAGGAGCAGTGCACTTTGTTCCAGTTTTTCCTGGCCTTCTCCCAGGCAGAGTCAGAAGTTTTCTTTCTGAATTGCTTGCAGGTGAGGGAGTTGAGTAATTCCAAATGCACTTGAAAATACAGTTATAACCAAAGGTATTATAAAATATAATGCTATTATATATGACAAATGCAGTTTCTTGCTGCTAAGCCTGTGAAAAGAACCCTTTTGGCTTTTCAAAGTGTAACTTTTATTCAGCAAGATTAAATTTAGCCATTGTGGCCAAAGCTGAAGATATGCTCTGACAATTATGTCTTGTGACTATGTTGTAATGGACTTGCTCTTTCTGATGCTAATGGAGAATATGTTGTTTCATCTGCAATTGGAAACATGAAGTCATGGAGACCAAGGTGGGTGTGACACACCTTATCCAGGATGGGATGATCCATGAACTTTTGTACAAAGAATTTTTGTGAGAAGTGTTTGTCATTACCCTGAGGCTTAATATCCATTTTCCCTGGTGAGTCAGTTAGTGAGACAAAATCTGCAAATTAAGAAACATCTTGTACAAGTTAGACAGTCAATTTAGATAGCTTATTAACCATTATTAAGTAACTGACTAGGTCTGACTAATTAGTAAGTGAGGTTAATGGTAACCTTAATGGTAAGGTTCTGTCAGATTAAATTGATCTCTAGTAAGCCAAAGGACAATTATGAGCTTACAATCACTGTGATTATTTTTCCCCCTACATTGTTGCAAGAACCCCAGTTAGAGGTAATAAGATGATTTAGGACTATTATGTAAGGCTGTCCCCTTGCCACAGGACAGCGCTTCAAGCGCTGCTATAATTTGGGGCAATGCTATTCCCAATGTCTGGTGAGATATGTGATTAAGTAATTATTGATTTTTGGGGGGAAATTTTTGTAGCACTATCACTAACTTCATATTGCCTGTCAATTCATTGCCCACTGAAGTGTGGATTGTTGCAGGCAGCCAAATAAACAGAAAACAAGCAGAGAGGTTAAAGCTGGTAACAGTCTGAGAAATATAAATAGAAAGCTCAAAGCTTGTTTGCCAGCTCGTCTACAGTCCTGGTTTGGTGCTTGGTAAAGAAGAAAAATTTTGTTTGCGTAGCCTGCATCAATGCCATCTGAACACAAACTTAGCTATGCACATTTTGGGTGCTTCTGCAACACAAATAGTTTGAATCATGTCACATATCTCGAATATTTTACTCAGCAGCAGGAAGGCATATGCCAACTCTGGATGTCATGAGGGATGCCTGGAAGGCATGTCTGGCAGGCTTATACCACTATCATTGCAGATTGACATATTCACTGTAGCTTGTAATTGGTAAGAGACAGCATCAGGTCTTGTGGATCTTGACTGCACCAAGAAGATTATTACTAATGAGTTAAGATTGATTTTTGCAATTAGAATCATTGGGGCCTCAGTGTTTTCTTTTTTTCCCCTTTTTTCCACCCTTTCAAATTGCCTTTGATCTTTACAGAGGTATTTCTATATATTCCAGAGGAGTTGGCATAGTCAAATGGACTACATCTATCTATGATTGCAAGATATTTCTGATAAGACACTTGCCATGTTTCCACATTTGTTGCATCAGCTATTACTCACATACCTACTTGTTTACTACTCTTGAAAGAGATGAAGTGAGACTAATAAAGATATTCACACCAATATTTATAGTTCAGTTGTTGAAAAAAAATAACAAAGCTCTCAAAAACTTGGTTTCAGCTAAGAGATTTCTAAATCACATTTGACATACTGTATTCCATTCAGACTGAAATTAAATGAAGAGTTTCAGACACCTCTAAGAAAAACCAAAGAAATGTAGGTATGGTTTACAAGCTGATAATGTAAATCCATGCCCTTTGCTTTTATTCAGTACATCTATTGCATTTTATTCTCCAGAAAGTGAGAGATTCAAGTTTGTTTTATCATTTATGATGCCATTTGAAGTGGGAGGGGTTTTACTGTGCCTTGCTTTATTTTCTCACTTTGGTTTGTTCCACTTTGCGGTTTTAGCAAATTGAACATCCATTGCAGCCAACGGCAATCCTGTTGCATGTTTTCCACATGGGTGTCTTAATTTGTGGGCTGGAGAGTTTTCCTCTCCTTCTGTTCCTAGAACTGATCCTGTGAGGGCTAGAATCCAACACCCAACTTTGCAGGTGATGCCACGCTTGAAATTCAATGTCCACCTAAGTCATGACAAGGATACACATGTGTCTCCAGTCTGTAATATAGCACACTGAGTCCTGGAAAATGTGATCTGGGTCAAGTCTTTTCCTATTGAAGCTATTCCTGTTAGGAATCAGGACACTCTTCTGATGGTAGGAACTCAAGTGTTGTCTCTTACTGACCTCTCACTGGCTTGTCAAACAATTTGAGCTCAGGTGTAGCTTTCATGGGCTGAGAAGCCCTTCTGTTGGCAAAACTGCCAGCCCTGAGTGCACTTTTGGGCTGCCATGGTGTGACCACCCACCACTGCACAGAGGGAAAGTGAAAAACACTGCTCACCAGGGGATGCCAACTGCAGCCTGTATGAGGAGATTATTTGTGGGTGGGGAGCTATGGTTCCTAGAGACAGCCCTACAAATTCATGCTGGACCATCCAGTAAGGTGGGGATCAACTAGCTCTATTTGAGTGGCTAGATTTATCCAGCTCCTTCTCCTAATTCACCTGGCTGTTTAGAAAGGATAGGTTTTCCCACAGTGCACCTGCAGAAAATTGAAAGGAACCACTTATTTCACTGTAGTGCAGAGATAAACAGGTTATGCCCTTCTGAAATATTAGTTTTGCTACACTTGAGTACACTTGAGTGGGCATAAAAATCCCAATGCTATTTCACAGTGCAACTAATCTCACTCAGGTTGGGTTTACTTAGGAGAAATAAACTCAGGTTAAGTGTTTGAGAGTTATTTCTGCAGTGAATGTATGATTTTTTAAATATCTTTCATTACACAGGGAATAATATGTTATACTTTTAACTAGAATAAGACAAAAGTCAATGCTGCTTTTGAAAATTGGATGTTGGCTCAAAGACTGCTTATCCAGTTTCTGGAAACTAAACAAAAGTTTGAGTTAAAGTCACTGAGAAGGGTTTGCTGAAAGCCATTGAAGGTCCTTTGGCACAAATCATGCAGGCGGAAACATTTCCTTGCCAGTTCCTCGCTTCTCCTCTTGCTCCTGGTACTGCAACTGATTCAAAGCTGTGCAGTTCCTCCCCAAACCCAAGGCACATATGAAATGAAGAAATGACAGGAAAAAGGCCACATGCCACAATAATTATTATAATGTAGTCTATTATTCCCTTGCTTTCTGGCTCTGTATTTGAGGCTTAATCTTAATTTGATTGTATAACTAAAGGTGTTTCCTCTGCTTGTTTATACTAGCTATGATTTCTAAACATCCTTGAAATTGCTGGCCATAACATCTCTCCTCATCATGATATTGCTTCAACTTAAACCACTTATCGGAAGTGCTTCTTTCTATTTTTGAACAGAAATGGTTGGGAGGCAGAAAAATATGTATTTGTTTGCCTTTCTATTTTTGGCTTGAAATTGCTGGAAGCCAGTAGGTGGGTTTTTATTTTCTGTTTTAAGATTTTGTTTTCAAAGTAAAACAAATATTTGGCATGAGGTTCGGCACATATCTTAACTGGTTCTAGCAACAGGAAAATGTTCTTGTTAGAAATTCTTCTGAAGTGTGGCTTTATTTCTGGAAATTCCTTCTTCACTTCAAGAGTCTTGTATCCTCTCCCATTTCACTCAATGATTCTTTCATATGCAGAGGGGTGAGTTTTATAGGAACTTTACTGGCAGTAAAGCATTTGTGTGTTTTCCTTCATCTCATACACTGCACCAATTCTTTTGTCATTTGTCTGTTCCACCAACCAAGGGACAATCACACAGGGAGTTGATTAGCAGTTGTGCTAACCAAATGAAATCACCTGATCTGTCACCTAAATGGATAATTACTAACTTGTTGTATCTTTGGAAAATAAATTCTAGTGTCTACTGTTAGACTGCAGGTATTTTAGTCTCCAGAAAGGAAAATTGCAATCCATTATAAAATCGGTTGTCTAGTATGAGGTCTCATCCTATTCAGGAGAACCAGATGGTTATCTAATTTGCATTTCCAGAAAATACTGGGAATTACTGAACCAAAGCATAAATCAAATTTTAAAAGATTTCTTTCAGAAAAAAATCCAAAATTAACCAAAAAAAATTTTACCCCAATTTTACATATTTTTTCTCTCCATATTTCCTAAAAAAACCCCAACCCCTCCCAACCCCAAAACCCATCTCAACCAAGCAAAACGTTACCCCCTGATCATATCCATGAGCTTTATCCTATTTATTTTAAAAAAAAAAATCTTAGATAACTTTCAGTTAGTATTACTTATCACATGTTGACTTTTCAATCAGTAAAATCAGTTCACAGAACATAGCACTGTCTTTGGAAAAGGGTTTTTTTTGAGGTGGTGGGAAGGGTTAGAGGGTAAAGTTGGCAGGACAAAATGTATTAAAACATTTTTTTTACTCTACTGCCAAGACTTATGTTATATGAAAATATAATACAGAGCTTAAGTACACAAAACTTTCTCTTTTTACAGCTTTTCCACTAAGCTTTGAAGCCATTCATGGAAGCCGATGGCAATGCTCTCGTAAGTATAATTGAAACTATGCCAGACTTACTGATCTGCTGAAGAGGTTGGATGTTGGGATTGTATCTTTGCAGTCACAGAAGACTGTCAACAGCATCAATATCCAAACAAGATCTTGCTTATAGGCCAGGCCAAGGGGTGAAGTCTACTGAATGTGCCTGATACCGGGGCACCCTCACTTCCGAATCCTACCCCTCAATGCATGAGAAAACAGCAACCTAAGATACATGACCTTAGCAAATGATTTTCTTAGCCACAAGCCTGTCTAAACATTGAGAAGCTTAAGCAAAGTGCAGCTCTGTAGAATATAACTGCTGTTCATAGCTGCCTTTGGTGCCCTCTTAGACTCATGCATTGTGAGTCAAACTTCATGAGCCATGAAGCCTTTTGTGTTCACGGTTAGTCCAATGCTGCTTCTTTTCCTTGTGGAGCAATTTCTCTTTTTTCCCCCCTCTGTAACAGCCTCATATATGTATTTTACCTATTTTTTTTCTCCTGGGGAGTTTGCAGGCTGCAACATCCTCAGTCTCTTGCCAGCAACATCCCATGGGGTGATCCTTGGCTGTTCTTGGCAGCTGACCCTGACCCAGGATGCATGGAACCTTTGATGCAGCTCCCTCTGATTAGGAAGGGTCAAGAACCCTTTAACTAGTGGTCAGGGGGGATCTACTCTGGGCACAGCCAACAGACCCATCAGTTTGTGCAGCAGGTGTGAAGAAGGAGCAAAGTGAGGGAACCTCAGTTGAAACTGTGCTGCTGTAACAGTCTGAGACACGGTGGTAACAGGGCAGTTTCCCCAATAGATGTGGGAGCAGCTGTCCCTTCTACGGCAGAGACTTCCACACAGAATATTTCAGGGTGGATCCACAGCCCTCCAAGTCCCAGACTTCAGGAAGTATCAGGGACCTCTCCCTGAGGCCAGGAGAGATGGCTCTCTGCCCTGCAGGTGGTGCATTGTCTTGGAGGAGCTGTGCTGGCAAGTGGAAGAGAGATGGGAGGAAGTGTGCAGACTGTGCAGCATCAGAGCAAATGGAAGGGAGAGAGATAGGGTCTTCTCAGACACACAACAGCTTGAAGGCCCTCAGTCCCCACCTACAATGGAGAAGCAGGCAGTGTCTACCCCCACTTTCAAAGTAAGCAAAACCTCTGGAGAAGGGGAAGGATGAGAGCTTTCTGAGAATTATTGCTCTCAGATTTTCCCTGGTAACAAGAAGAGATAGAAACAGATTTGATTTTCTTGGTTTGTTTTTCAGTTGAACCTCTGATGATGAAATTAGTCATTTACCATCAGGAAACAGAGCTTTATAGAAATACATCCACTATTGTCAAAAGTAGAATCATGACACTTGGTTTAGTTTCAGATTGTTCCAATGACTATGTCTGCCAGTTACACTACATTCACATCTGAAACTGCTGTTATGCCCTGATCAGTGCCACTGGTTTTATTGGTAATAACTCTGCCTTCCACAGTTTTCTCTTTGTCCTGCACTGGTATGAATGTCTATAAGAGTGAAACTTACAAGTATCTCTTAATCAGTGTTCACCCAGGTTCACTGAAATGGAAGATTATTGACTTTTATAAACCAGTTTTCAGAGGAGGCAACTTTAATTTACTTCTTGAGGAAAGGTTTGCCACTGGAGACTTGATAATGTCTTGTATTCTCATGGAAAATTGAATCCAAACTCTGTGGGAGAGGCATTTTATGACTTTTATGGTAGTTTCATTTAAATATAGGTTTCCTATTGGTTTGAGATGAAAACTGTTTTTACAGAAACTGTTTGTTTATTTCATAAAATATCTATCTGACTCCAAACACTGCTTTGGAGAAAGAAGTTGTTTTTATTTGTTTATAAATCAACAAAATTTGGGAAGGCAATTTTGTGAATCACACCAGTTTTTATTGCTGCAGTTGAGGATTAGAGCTTTTCTTGTGCAGAGCAAAACAGATATTTTTTACAAGAGGAAGATGGGTTTCTGAACAGCACTAAGACACATTTAAAAGTTGCTGAATACCTACCTGGTTTAGGATTAATTTTTAAAAAATTTACTTCAGTTTTCAGGAATACTGGAAAAGCGAACCAGAAATGTATCTGAATTCAAAAAAAATGAATGTAAATTTATTTTTTTACAGATTTATCACTAATTTTATCCAGGCAAACTAAATGCAGTGTTGGCTGGGGAAGTTACCCTTTCTTCCACCATTATTTTCCCAACTCCTCCCATAAAATATGAAGTAAAAGGGGTTCATCAGCCCTGCCAACTTGCAGCAGGTTGTCATCATTGCCACTGAATAATAAATGCACATTTGTAAATTCTTTCAGCTAACCCAAGCTCTTACTAGATAGTCATTTTTTTCCTCTTTCTGGTATAAAGGAGGCCCTAATTGATGATTTACGTAATACGGGTATTAACTATTTTTTGACAGATGAGCTATAAACCATGTTGTTTTACTTTAGATTATCAATAAGGTTAGTGGAAAGACTGCTTCTTCCTCGGTTGCATGGAGAGAGCCACATCCTGTCTCAGTATTGCTCTTCTTGTTGTACAACTTTATGTTGGTTAAAGATGAAATGACCCCACTGTAGTGTCATGGCAAAGATGTGATGTTGCCTTACTACGTAGTTTTTGTGCAAGGAGAGCTGATTCATATTTGTTTTTCTTAATATAATTTTTAATAGCCCTAAAAGAAAGTAATTAGTTTGTCTGTGTGAGCCATTGATTCACTGAAGCTGTATTTATTTCCATGTGTCCTAAATAGGGCATTACTGAACAAATAGCAGAGCCTCTAATAGAGCTGATGTGTTTTCTTATTGCTTTTCTTTGTCTGTTGTCATGGAGAATAGTCTGGAAAAGAGAAGCAGTGACAGAATCAGAAAGAAAAAAAAGGGAAAAAGGAAAGAAGAATAGGCAGTGATTAAGCAGGAGTCTGGGATTATTCATTCCTGGTAAAGCCTCCCACAAGAGTGCTGTTCAGGACATGTCAAATAGACACCAGATAAGCACACGACTGCGATATGTGGTTCTGCACCCTGTGATACATGCTGCAAAGATCACTGGTTAGAGTAAGTTCTAGCTCTTGTAAATACTGGTGGCAGTGGTCTCTTCTATTACTTCTTGCAGATGGTCTAGATTTACTCACCTTTAATTTGCCAGTGAGAAGAACCATCAAAGTTTTCAAGAAAAACATGTAAGTGGGTTCTGTTTTCCTGAGAAGCAGGCTGGCTAGGCACAGGGGCTAGAATTAGGGATGTTCATAGCGTAGCTCTGCAGTGGATCAAGTAGCTACCAGCTTTGCATAGCAACGTTGTGGCCAGCATATTAAATCATACATCACTTTATCCAGCATTTGTCAGCTGGAGGCTTCAAAACCTTCCTAAAAATAGTGAAAGGTGAATGCTGTAGTTCCCACAGTAGAGATGGAGAGGTTGAGGCCAACAGAAGTCAAGTACTGTGTCCACAATCACATAATCAACCAGCCTGTCTGGAGAGAATTTACTCAAAAAGTCAGACCTTAAATTTTCAGTGACATCTTTTTTCAGTCTGTGGTCTTCTGTTTCAGTTTCATTTTCTATGTGTTTATGCAGGATTAAATACATAGTCCGCCAATGAGTAAATAGAATTAAATTCAAATAAAAAAAAGCAAATGAAAAACCTTTTTTTTTTTTCTTTTTTTTTGGATTTCTTAGAATGAGCTAAATGACAGTCAGTCACTTGGCATGTATTTTAATCCCCCCACGTTTGTAAATCCCCCTCATGGAGCATAATGAAGCACTTAAATGCCGGAGTCTTAACTTGTATGTTTTAACTTCAAAACGCAGAATACAATTCAGGCAAATGCTTAGCAAAGTAGAAGCTGTGGGTGTGAAACAGGAAGCACTAGTAGATAGACACATGTATAATACACACATTTACTCTTGCTCAACTAGATATACATCAATTTTAATTAACACATTTTATGCTTCAGCTACTAACGTCCCTTCAGCAGTGAGTGGGTTATGCATTTCCATCCTGCATATACCACCAGCATCACCACCACGTCCTTTTCTAGCTTCCCCCTCCCCTTTCTACACAAATGTTGCAACACAATCTGAAATTTCCTCTTTTCTTTCCTTCCTGCATTTCTTACAGGTTCCTTTGCGTCAGAAGGCAAAAAAGAAAAGTCAAGGTAATGAGAGATTGTTTTTTTCCTTTTCTCTCCTGGGTTCCTCTTTTGTTATTTTCTTAGTATGCCTTATTTTTGGGAGGGTGAGGGTTTTGTGCTGCTGCTCAGCTGGTGGAAGGCTGATTCTTGCACCGATTCTTAGAAAAATGTCAACGGGCTGTTCCTTTGGACTAAATCCTTGTGGTATGTTAATTGAATCAAAGCTGGAAATCAGTGAGGTAGAATCAGCTGCCTGCACAGACATACACACTAGTGATTTTCATGTACTTGGCATAATAGTTTTCTCTAGCTGATTTAAATAGATGTATTTTTTTCGGTGCAGTGGTGTGAAGGGAAATACATGCATGCTTTTTTTAAAAGGATCAAAGGATGTATTTTTAATTTACAAAAACTTGTGTACGGTTATCTTAGCATTAATTAGTATCTGCATTATCTACAGCTTACTATTTTGTTTCTGAACATCAGCATGCCTTTCAAATGAATGTGTGTTACTGGCTCAGCCATTCTAAAACTGAATGACTTCTAAGTATATTTTAAGATATGCTTGAATAGGTTGCTGAGATTGCTATGTAAGATTGATATCTTTAATTGGCAGCATTATTTTCCTGGCAATGCACTTTTAAGTAAGCAGAACACTGTATTTTTAATGGCACAGGGTTCTTTATTATGAGCCGACGGAGGATATCGTGCAAAGAGCTGGGGCAAGCTGATTGCCAAGGATGGCTCTACAAAAAGAAGGAAAAAGGAGCATTCATTGGCAACAAATGGAAAAAGTTCTGGTGTGTGCTAAAGGAGTCATCACTGTATTGGTACAGCAGTCAGCTGGTGAGTACAGCATATGTCCAGCTCTGGGTGCCAGACAAACAGCATCTGCTAGGACTGAGAGAAGGGAAGCTGGGGTCACAATTTAGGTGTATCCTGGAGGAATACAAATAACTGGGTTTAATTCTCAGCCCTGACATTTCTTGTGATCTGGGAAGTGTCTATGTGAATGTGAAATAATGCAGAAGGCTATGTGTTTTCTAGTTCAGGAAGTACTTGTGAAATACTAACTTGCTGTCTGTTCTGCCCTGTGAAGAGCTGCTCTTTGAAGGCTCTGGTGGCATTTGAATTTGAGAAAGATTTTCCTGAGTTAGGCAGTTTGCAGACGCTTACTATTGAGACTCAAAACAGAAATGCTTCTTCACTTCTGATTAATTTAATATTCAGAAGTGTCTCTCCTGCTTTTCTCTTTATCCCCTGAAATTATTCTCTTTATTTTTCTGCTCTTTCTCTCTCTCTTTCTTTCTCTTCCTCTCTCTCTCTCTTTCTCCCCCTTTCTCTCCTTTCCTCTCTCTCTTTTGTCCTTCCTTCCTTTCTTCCTTTTTTTCCTTCCTTTATTTGTTTTTTTTCCCTACTAGTTTGCCCTGGTAAGATTGCAGATATGAGTGTTGTCAGGTGGTGATGATTTTTCTCCTGGTCTTCCTGATGTCTCACATTGTGTTTCTCCCTTCACTTTGCTTTCTTGCACTGCTTCTTCTAAAAAGATTCTATTGTGTTCAAATGATGGAGGGTCAGAGCCCAGAACTGGGGTGTGCGGGGGATTAGGGGATGCCAGTAAAAACATAGATTGAATCTCAGCAACTTCAGTGTGGAATTGTGGACAAACATGAGGTTCCCTAAATGCAAATGAGCTACTTTTGGAAATCAGCATGTCCCAGGTGGAGTAAAGGCTAAAAGATTGAAGAAACCCTTATTAATTCTTAGAGCATTTAAAAAAATCAAATGCAGTCTGGATTGTTTCCACTTGTTTATTTCTACTGCAGTAATCCCCATTAAAAATCTTGCTAACTGTTTCAGGGAACAAATAAAATAATTTAAGCCATTAGAAAAAGCCTATACCCTAACAAGACTTTACTCATGTAAAGAGTATTTCACATTCTCCCTTCAGTTGTGGGTATAGTGTTACCGCTTTTTGTGTTTTGCTTGTTTGTTTGTTTGTGGGTTTTGCTTGGGTTTTTTACTAGAATAAAAACTCTGACAGGTACTTAAGGATGGTATTAACTGTTCCTTTCTGGGGAAAGTGAAAGCAAGTCTGCTGGTCTTAAGCTGCTGTTTTTTATGATGTTATGGTAGTCTGATACAGCTTCCTTTCAGGACTAAGTCAAATACATACATGAGAGAAAAATAAAAATACGAAAAGTAGGAGAAAAAAGTGAAAAAAGTCGTGTGTGCCCCCCCCCCCTTTACAATATCTCTTCTTGAAAGACATGGCCTGGCAGATAGATTCATCGAAAGCATTAATACATCACAAACACTGGCTGTTCTAAATAACTGTTTGCAGTTGTACTTCTGGCCAAGCAGTGTTAAGAAAGGTGAATTGGCAGGCTGATGTCTCTTTTAGACATGGGAAGTGTCAGAAAGGAATAATCCTGAGGAGTAATCAAGCTGGGAGGAAATAAAACAAGGCAAGACTAGGCAAAGTTTGCCTTCAGGGAAGAGAAGGATGGGGGGGAGAGGTGCAAAGTCCTCCATTTCCTTTAATTGTGGCTTGGCTAAGTTCAGCTCTTGGGATCCAGAGAAACCATGGTCATGCTGGTCCCAGTGTTCCTAGACAGCATTCATCATTTTAGTCCATGCCTGCTTTCTGGCTGTCACTGACTGCCCCGAAACAAACAAGGCTGATGAAAAAGTTGCAGCCTCATTTCAATTTGTTTTATTTACTCTCTAGAGCTCATATGGCTTCAAAATACTGTTGGCTAGTGCCAGTCCTGAGTTATCACCTGTCACAGTTGTGCTTGGAAACACATTAGCTGGTAGTGCCTCTTTGCTTTCAACTTCTGCCAACTCTCACACCCTATTTCATGTTAAAAACTTGAGGTTTCTTTGGACAACTTGAAGTGCAGCCTCTCTGTAACTGTAGATTGAGGCAATGTATGCAGAATGTCAGTGACTACAAGGTTTGGGAAGGAGAGGAGGTGTCCTTTGCTAAGACCTTCTTTCTTCAATTGGTGAGACCAGAGGCGTGCTCAGAGTCGCACCTTAGATCAATTATACTTAATGTATTTTCACAGATATTTTCACCTCTAGATTGATGAAGCAGAAATAGCAGTGACATATTCACCTGCTTGCTTGATATTTAAGTCTCTGGCCTAATACTGCCTGCATTTCCACTTTCTTCAGTGAAGTTAATCCTTGGTCTCAACAGGACATCCAAAATGGTAATCTAAAGTTTGGAGCTGTGTTGAAAGAGAAGTCCTGTTTCTCATGTGCCTGAGAGTTCCTGTGATTGGCACTCTTATAGAGACTGAAGTGAAAGGTGATGGTGAAAGAGCAGGGCTGAGGTTGAAGGAACTGGGACATGGCTGCCTGTAGCTCTGCCTGACCAGTTTTGTTCTTGTGAGAAATGAGGATGTTTTGTTTGTGGCTGTGTGAAAACCAGATAGTGACAACTGTAGCATAGCAACAGGGTGCTGGATCTTTTTTTCTAATGGTGATGAACAAAGTAGGGAATGGGTGGAATTTGTATAGGAACGTGTATTACCCTGGATTTGGGTAGGTAACCTCAGCTGACATCATGTACTTGGTGAAGTTTGTCTTCAGGTGTCCCTGAATTTCTGGATGTTTCTGTCACTCTGGTTTAATTTGCCTTCAAGCTGCTCTGGCTCTGGGTCTTTCATGTGAGGAAGATTGGTTGAGACAATATAGGACACTTATGACATTTGCAGGTGATATTTCCTTCAATTTAACATAAATTACTTTGTGAATGCCACCACTCAAAAGAGAAAAAAATAATAAAAAGCTGAGAAGAGTCAGCAACAAAAAACTCCAACCCTACTTTTGTTACTAGACCATGGCACTAAGTGCCACATCCAGTCTCATCTTGAAAACCTCCAGGAATGGTGAATCCACCACCTCCCTGGGCAGCACATTCCAATGCCTGATTACTCTCTCTGTAAAGAAATCTCTTCCCAATATCTAACTTAAACCTCCTCTGGCAGAGCTTGAGTCTGTGCCCTCTTGTCCTACTGCTAGTTGCCTGAGAGAAGAGACCAACCCCAGTACTCCTAGGAAGAGGAGTGTTGAGGGAGGATTGTCACATGTAATCCCAGGGTCTCCTCTCATTGTGTTTCTTGAGACTGTGTTGGATAGTGTTGGCTGGAATTGGACAAAGGACTTAATTCCTCTATCTGGTGGGTCTTCAGGGTAGCTCAGCTAGTTTTCTAAGTAGAGTTAAAATACAGTTTTTCAGAATATGTTAGCAATGGTTGTCATGGGGATTCAGCTGAAAAAAAATAAAATTAAAGGTTTGCAGCCTCTGATCCACTGTCACTATTTATCTTTGTGATTTTGTTTTTTTTTTCCCATTCACTGCATTTAAATTAGTCCTCACTCCAACAGCTTTGCCAGAAGCTGTATAATTGCAGTCTTTTAAAACAAACATCTTCTACCTTTGAGTTGTAGTAGCTGCTTACATGGATGATAAAAAGTTACTGATGTTAGCTGAATGTACTGAGAGCTTTAGGGACCTCTGGTCCAATATCTTACACAAATTATTCACAGTTCTATAGGTTACCTTACTGGTATACTTGGTAGAGACAAAAAAGATTAAAAAGGCTTGAGGACTGAACTGCTCTTCCAACATCCACAGGGTTTTCTGGGGGCAGTGCTGAAACACTGATGAAGCCACGAGGAGCACTCTGATTGGCAGACTGGAGCTGTTTCACAATAGCGAGATATTTCATTTAGTAGCACTATTTTTAAAAATCTTTTGGTGACATTACACTCACTTCAAATGACTTACTATATCTCCTAAAGCCACAACATTTAGACATCGTGTTGAGACAGGCTGAAAAGGACATTAGCCTCTTTCATTGGATTCATGCATTACATTTCATAAATAATTTCTTTTTGAGTGCAAAGCTTTTGTTGAAAATAGTGGTGATTTTCTTTTTCCCCAAGCATTTGCAGAGACTGTTGTTATTACTGAAATTATTTTTCTACAACTTGGCATAGCAAAAGTATAGACTTGTATGTTCAGCTGATCTTCATAAAAACCACAAGAGATAAAAGTTTATTCTTTTAAACATCCTGATTAAGTATCAAACAGGTCAAGTTTCTTTTTATCTGAGTATTTAAGGGCTATTTTGCAGCTTTGCATCAAAATCTGAAGAAAGTTTGAGTGAAAAGTTGAGTTAAATAATAGCATGCTTAAAGTCATGTAATAAATAGTAATAAATAATAGGATGCTTAAGGTCTAACTGTTGGGATATAGATTAACAAAAAAGACTTTTAAAAAATCTTCTCAATTTTTTTCTTTAGTTAGTTGTTATTTTATCTCAATGAATTTAATCTCATGAAATTCCAATCCACGGAATGGAAACAAAAGCTCCCCATGCCAGTCTCTAAATAAGTTTTACAGATACAAATACAATCAGAGAAGAGCTAAAACCCTGCAATATCAAATAAGTATGTTTAGATACAAATTCAGCCCAGATGCAGAAAAACATAATTGTTTCTCCTGTACTGAAAGAAAATCACAAAAACACCCCTTCCACTGATGCTTTTGTGTGTATGTGCGTGTGTGTGTGTGTTAGTCCTGGAACAGTAAAATTGTTTATTGGTGATGATGCAAAATATAAATCTCTCA